ATTTTTCATTTTCTGAATATTGTCTTTCTCAGTAAGCAATGTCTTAAATAAGTAGTTACTGCGTAGCTGTAACTGGAGCAGCCATTACCTACTCCATCCGTGTATCACATTGAATTCAATAGTTTAATTTAAAAAATAGTTAATTAGTAAGCCAGTCATAAATCACTACTGCTTTTCTGAAACATGTCAGGTAAATGTTACTGAAGCCCAATTTTAATGAATGCATAGATCATTAAAAGTATTATCTTTATATTGTTGTGTGCGTTATTTCACTTGGCCTTGCCAAAAATGTGTTAGAGGGTGCTCTTGAAGTCTATAAAAAAGCAATCATATTCTCTTTCTTTCTCTTTGATTTCAGATGTAATTGAATGCAAAATAAAGAACTCTGCCAACAGAGCGGCATTCACTTCCTTGGTTTTCTCTTGGCTTTTCAACTCTTTCATACGCACATATACACACGTGTCTATCACACATGTTTGTTTCACACACAATCACATTCTTATATCTAGTTTTCAATATCTTTTCCTTTCAGTTTAATTGTGTATACATGTAATTACTTTTGTTAATGCATGCATATAATTTCCGTTTGTTTTAAATTCATTGTTTTGTATTTATACTATTTACATTGTTTGGACTGTTGTCCTCATCGTTATTGTTATATTAATAACATTTTGACCATTGTATGCTCCAGACTTCTTCAGGTGATATACGTTGGAATTTCAAACTGAACCCTTTATTTCATTCACCTAGGTAGATTGTTCTAGTTCCACATGCCATGCCTTTTCTGGATATCTCAGTTTTAGTTATTTCCCTTTAGTAGCACAACTCTCCAAATTTTTGTTCACCTCTGCTGTGGCCATGTATTGAACTCACAATTCTCTGGGTCAAGTTCCTGGATTACTTTAAACAAAACATGTTTCTCACACAAACACATAACAAGCAAATTCTTATATCTAGTTTTCAATGTCTTTTCTTTTCAGTTTAATTGTGTATACATGTAATTACTTTTGTTAATACATGCATATAATTGCTGTTTGCTTTATATTCATTGTTTTGAGTCACTTATTTCTACCCAAACTCACATGAGTGCTCCAATATTATTTGTGGGACAAATGTTCCAAGAGCCCATAAATATTTATTATACAACATACACATACTCATATCAAAAGTGTTGATTCCTATTACAAAGTGGTAACTCATTTTTAACCAAGTATTTTAGAATCCCACAACAGTTGCACACAAGGAAATGTTTACAACTTTTCTGTTTGTAGGGTTTTAAGCTTTGTTACTTAATTCTAGATAAAGTCTACTGAGAACAAATTATGTCTGGTACAAAATGATAATTCTGTAAGCAGGAGAATATGTAGTATCTTGCCTGCTAGTAAAGTTTGCCTGTCGTCATTGTAGAAAAATATGGACATCTCTCTTGCATTTGGATTCACCCTAAGAAATATGATGGTTTTGAAGCAAAGTTTGACTTACGTACCCACAAAAAATGTGATGTCATAAGGACAGCTTTTCTGTTGACACTGCTGTTACTGCATACTCACAATGAAATTTTCATTGGTCTTAAAAAGCTATTTTTATAATCTTAATAAAACCCAAAGATATGAAACTATTTATTTTCTTTTTTCTCAAGAACTGACAACAAAAATATTTAACATTATTTACTTAGATTATTTATTTACAAGAATAATTTCATATTGTAGTGCCTTGATAAACATATTATCAACAGCAGCTCTGAGTGTATAAAAACAGTTAAACCCTTAAGTAACTCTTTTCCTTTTTTCCCTCCTTCCAAAGTGTGCGCCATCAACTTTTCACATCAAAACAAAAAAGGGTGTAGACACTTCTCACACAAACACAGGCAAGTCACACTCAAATACATTCATTAACAATTTTCATTTTGTATTCCATTTATTTATAGGTAAAGAGACTCTTAAACTTTATACTTGTTATTTTTGTTAAATAAATGTTTTCTTGCATTGCAGGTCAATTGGTTATTTTATACATGTACCTTTTCATGATTAATTCATGTAAAATATTTTTATAGAAACCTTACACATTAATTATAGAATTAGCCAACACACTAAAATATTTACAAGATTATGCCAAGAGAAAACCATCTTTTGATGCACTAGTTTTTGCAGATATGTTTGTTAAACGTTGCTGAATTTGAATAGCAAGTTGTTGTGTAACCACAATTTGATAAATCTTTGTTATTTCATGTTCATTAAAACCAATCAGAAAATTAATTCAATTATTATTTTGTTGAAGTAGTTTGTATTTTTAAGAATATAGAAACTGTTACATTTAGTCATGGAAAACAGGACAGTCTCAGGTTTGAGTGAACCGACATGAAGCATGACTGGCATATATTAGGTACCAGAAGAAAGAGGAAGAGGTTAGGTATAAAAGAGACATAGCTAGGAGTGAGAATCACCTTCCTTAACATTGATTAGGGAGCATACATTAAACTGTGATGCAAAGGGAGTGTACATTAAACAATAATATAACAAAGACGTTTAAATGCTGTCATATTGCAAAATGTGGTTACATCTTGTAGGGTTTGTGAAAGAAAACCTTAAAAAATATATAAATTAAGATTTGCTAAAACAAACAATTTAGATAGATAGAAATGTCCCAAATGTAATAAAATCAAAGTTTGTACCATCAAAATGTTTCTGTTATTATTAAGAAGAACGACCAAAATATTTTTTTAATTATGTTTTGACATTTTGAAATCCTTTCTAGCACGTGTTTTTTTGAAATCATTTGATTCTTATCTGTTCATGGAACATGCATTATTTTTTTGGAAAAAAATCAAGAAACTTTCTCAACATATTAAAAAAAAAACATTGTTGAAAAAAGGAAAAAAAAATCCTTTTTTTTTACTTTACAGGCATATAATTTTTATTTTATTTTAATTGTCAGATTTTAAGGAAACTTTCATGACACACACACAGACACAAAAATAGAACATTGTTTTGAAGAAAAAGGAGAACTTCATTTATTTTTGTCCTTTCAGAATGTAATTTTGACTTTATTTTTCATTTTTACTAATATATTTGGAATCATGACGTTTTTTCTGTTTGGTTACTTTTAAAATTTTGTGCATTGCACAGTAATCAACACAAATGAAGCTTCTGTGCAATACTACTTGAGGCAAAGGTATGCAAACAAAGCCAGTAATGGTAGTCATTCTGTCTACATGACGAGAAAGAAGTCAAACTTACAGTGTTCATAACTTCTAAACGGTAATCAAGTGCAATGTTTTAATGTTATTTTCAAAATAATCAGGCAATTTCACATCAGAATGGTACATTCTCATTATCGGGGTATTTTGGTGCTTATACTACAAATTAACCACATAGGTTTACTATTAATTATAAGAGAAATATCGGTCTATATCTCTGAGATGAGGTATTATGATCACTTACATTATTTACATTATTCAGACTGTTATCCTCATCTTCAATGCCATATTCACAATGTTTTGGCTGTTATATGCTCTGGCCTTCATGAGGTGATTGAAATTTCAAACTGAACCCATTATTTCATTCATCAGGGTAGATTGTTCTAGTTCCACGTGCCGTGCCTCTTTTGGATGTCTCAGTTATTTCCCTTTAAATCAGTTCTACAAGTTGTGGTTCACCACTGCTGTAGCCAGGTATTGAACTCACAACTCTTTGGGTCTAGTCACTAGATCTAACACCTTTATCCATTGAATAGAAGAAGGCCAGAGCATAAAATGGCCGAAATGTTGTGAATATGGCAATGAAGAAGAAGATAACAGTCTGAATAATGTAAGTAATAACGGAAATACTTCATAATATTTAACATCTTAGAGATAATTAAAATGCCCTATGTATATTTATATTTATTCTTTTTAATCATTTCACCCCAATCATCCTGGGTATGACGATAAACTGTGTCTGGCAGGAAGGCCTCTGATCAGGAGGTTTTGAGGAGCGTGGAACCACCTCTTAATTGTTGGCGTTCCCAGATTCACCCTGACCCGGGGTGGTAGCACCTCTTAAGGTCACAGCTATGGGAAAATAGTTGGCACCCAAACTTGTGTAAAAATAGGTTTTAATACCAGAAATACTTTGTAATAAAAAAAAATATATTACCAGCAATAATTTTTGAAGGAAAAATTATTATCAGCAATATATTTAAAAAAAAAAAATACTAGCAATACAAACAGCTATACATTCTTTGAAAAAAAAATGTTACCAGCTATAGATTTTTTCAAGGAAAAATATTCCCAGAATAGATTTTTGAAGAAAAACATTACCAGCAATAAAAATTTTGTCGGCATTAAATAACCCATTGATGTTGATATGTTGTAAAACAAACCAAACTAAACTAAACCATTTCACCCCAAGCAAGGAGGGAATGCCACTAGGGCTCAGGGTCAGGTCAAGGAGTAAAAGTGAAAGAAAAGACTGAGTCTAGAGAGGATTGAAAAAAGGACAAAAAATGAACAGGATTCAAGAAGATAGAAGATGGTGATTTACATTGCATTTAAAGTTTTGAAGTCAACAGAAGGGAATTCCACAGGTGGGAAGTGTGAGAAAAGAAACTGTTGGAGTAGAAGTGGCAGTTGCATTTAGTTATTTCAACAGTTAAAGGGTGGGATCTATATTCCAATCTAGTAGCATGCTTAAATTCATGTAGTCTGGGTGACAGGAAAAAAAGCTTGTCAGAACAGTAGCCATGAAAATATTTGTAGAAAAGACAGAGGGAAGCCACGTCATATTGGTGAGAAAGTGACTGCCAAGTCAGGACTTATTACATTGCAGATTCTGACTTGGATTTTGTCTAGAACCTCAAGATGAATAGTAGGAGCACCAGACCAAATATGGCAGCAGTATTCAATACATGGGCAAATAATAGATTTGTAAATGTGCAAGATGGACTCTGATAAGAAAAACTTTCTCGCACTACATATTATAAAAGAAAAAATATTGTTAAGACAATAGTGTAAAATATCTTACCACACTATATCCAATGAAGTCTTCATTTTGGGTAAGAACATTAAATGTTACAATTGGCCCTTGTGTTAGTGGGTCTTCAAAATTTCCATGACAATATATTTTTGCTACAGGTTTGCCATTTGCATGTTTCAAACTTGAAAGCTGATGATGAAATTGCTGAGCCACTTTGAATGTCCGTTCTGAAATATTTGAAATGCCACCTGTGAATTGAAAAAACAAAAACAAAACGTTAATGAACATTTTTAATTAAAATTATTAATGAAGTCTACAAAGACACAAGGTTGTAATTTCAAAATCAAAATTTACAATATTTAAAGACACTTGCAGATTTAACCTGTTCAATGAGGTGCCATGCTTTGGAGAGCTATTGGGTCTTAAGTTCACTCCAGATCTCAAGTAGAATTAATATATACAATCTTCTCCCCATTACTTGATTTTTTGGGGACTGGGTGCTAAAATTAGTCAAGTTTTAAATGTGTAAAATTTACAAATTTAAATGACACACCTCTAATTAGAAAATATAAAATGTAAAATCACAAATGTATATATATATATATATATATATATATATATATATATATATATATATATAAGATTAAAATAGTGCTAAATAACCCTGAAAAGTTACTGGGTCAGCATTTGGAGTTAATAGTGTATTCTGAGAATATGGTGCCAGAAAATCCATTATTTTCAATCTGCCTAATGTGTGACCTGCCAGGAATATACAGTTTGGAATTGGCTATTTTTTTTTCTTCTCTCTTTTACTTGACTTTCTTAGGGCCAGTGTGTTGTTGGTGGTGGTGGACTGGATTCCTAATCTTCCTAATATGACCTGGTTGATTTTCTTTTCTTTTTTTTGACCTAAATTAGTAGAAGAAAATTTAGTCAAGTCATTAAAGTGTAAGATATATAAATTGAAATAAAACACCTCTGAGTGATTTTAATTACATTTTCTCTAAGTAAAATCATGAAAGTATACAAATAGGAAATAAAATAATGTCAAATACTGCTGAAAACTTACTGGCTTAGCATTTAGAGTTAATAGTACATACCAGTGTTTCTCAACTAGTGTTCCCTGGAACCCTAAGATTCTGCAAGTGTTGGAGTTAATAGTATGTTCTAAGACTACAGTTCCAGAAAATCAAAATTTTCAAAATATCCAAAGAGTGATCAGCCAGGACATATACAGTCTGGAACAGGACATTATTTTTTCTTTTATTCTGAAGATACCAGAAAAATGGTCAGTTCATTCTATCACTCCAGAAAATACCCGACTATTTCTATCATACTTTAGAGACCAAGATTAAATCCAAAAATAAAGTGTTGCTGTTGCATTCCAGTCTTGATAGTGTTCAAAATTGTTTATACAGTCTTATAGAAGATTACTTATTTTCCACTCTGCAATATTACAAGTCAATACTCTATAACTATTTCCATGGCAAATGTTTTGGCAAGTGCCATTCATTAGTTTGTAGGAATTACCCCCACTTGGTCTGCAAAGATGCCATTAGGTGGCGTTAATTAAATCCTATAAAAGGATAAGCCTATTTTTCTCTTTTGTTTTCTCTCAGCATGTGGTAGGTATAACACATACATGGGACTTGTTGGCAGACTGTAGCAGAAACGAAATGCAGACTGACCTACCTACCACCATTGATAACATTATCCGCCACAGTCGGCAAAAACAGACAATGTCTTCTGTGCTGTCTCTGTAAAAAGAAAGCAAGTCTGGGGACATCTGGGTATGAAGAAATAAAATATCTACCAGTTCCCGCCACGAAATAGTTGGAATGGTGAGCTGAATGGAGTTAGTTATGCAAATGATTCATTTTGTTAGACAACTGCTGATGTTTTGGGATCAATAAAAGCAGGAACATTTTCTGAGAAGCAGCAGTGAGTAGTGTGTCAAGCTGTTAAACTAGGAGTGTTACCCAGCATCACCAGAAATTTGTTCATCTTTGCATGTGTTTCTGGTGTTTTAGCTTCGTTCGTCTGAAAGTCCTGTTTGGATCCTGTTCGTCATGATCATGTATTCGGTTCCTTTCATGTTTGTTTCTTGTGCTACTAATTTTTCAGTCCCTTCTGAGCTGTGAGACGCCTATTCAGTGCAGATAACCAACCAATGAGAAGAAAAATCATCACAGACATATGAAATTTAACCAGCACTCCTATTTTACATCTCGCTGTCAAGCCAAAGAAAATTCATCATCTCTGGGAGAAATCAATGGGACTTGAAGAAAAACCTTTGCTATATGTGCACATAAAAAAATATACCCAACTATGCTGGAAACCAGTGCTGTTGAGTTAGAGTCTTGGAATCAGAAGCAATTAAGGGGTCACTGGAGCCAGAGTCAGTAAAACTACACTGACTCCAGTTGAATTTAAACTTTATGTAAAAAGTCTTACATGAGAAGTTTTTTTTATTCTACTGTATATTTACTATAGAAATTCATCTTGACTTCTTTTTTAAAGTCATTTTATTTTTTTGTAGTTATTTTGTATTTGCAAGTCTGTATATGTAAAAAAAGAAAAAAATTTACATTATAGAATTTTCATTTCTGTTATATCTTTTACATCCTGCAAAAAATTATATTTCAAATTCTGTTATAGTTTTATTTTGTTCTGTACTTATTTTCTATTTGCAAATATATATATGTATATAAATGTATGTAAAAAAAAAATCTTAGATTATAGCATTTGTATTTTTATTATTTCTTTCATATCCTTTCAAAGATTTTGTCTCTAATTCTGTTAGAAAATCTTGAAGAATGGATAGGTATGATATAAAAGCCATAATATCTTTATTCTTTGGTATAAAACAGTTATTATGATATAGGCTGACTCAAATTAGGAGTGTATGCATAGGCTTTATGAGATTTGTAGGCCATAATAACTTAATTACATAAAGGGGAGTTGCCAAAAATAGAGGTGTCTGAGTTGGAGTCAAAGGTTTTGTGTTCCGACTCCACAACCCTGCTGCAACCTAACATTTTACCTTTAAACAGAGAAACCAAAAAAAGCTTAAAATACAGCAAAGATTTCCACATGAAATGAGTTACCATAATACATTAAAAAAAAAAAAAACAAACATTTGACATGGAAATTTCTATACACTACAGACAAAAAGTTGGTTGACTATGTGTGAACTTTTCATAAAACGCCAGATTTCATATGACAAAGTTGAACTACTAAAACCGTCATTACTTTCACAAATGTAACTCTTTTCTTCAGAATACCACCCAAAATCCAGAATTAAACGTTATGCGGATCTCACAAGGAAATATCTAAAAATGAAAGGTACCATTCAAAGCCAAAAGAGTTAACTCTTTCCAGCACATGGAAAAAATGAAAGCAGTCCACAGACTTAAAAACAACAGTTTTAGGTACCTCCACGAGATTGCTAAAAAAAAAGAGCATAAAACATATTTATAATAATTTTGATCATCTGTGAATAGTTTCTGAAAGTTTCATTAAGATCTGACAATTATTTTTGCAAGATTTTCCAAATTAATGTGTGTCATACAAAAAAAAAAAACATGCTATATTGTATATGTATTTTATTTATGTTATTTTACTAGTTTCAGTGATACAAAGAGAAACAAGGTTTTTTGTAATCAAAATTTAGAATGTTCTAAAAAGAAGGAAAAATTTAAAAAAATGATTAAAATAAACTTTGGTCTTTCCTCTTAATAATAACATAAACATTTAGATGATAAAATTTTGTTTTCATCAAGTTTGGCATCTTTTTCATCATGCTATGCTCTTTTTTTTTAGCGATCTCGTGGAGGTACCTTAGTTAGATGTAATTTAGTCTAAAAATTGTTGATTCATTGACACTTCAAAAATTCACAAGAACAACTAAGACATCTGCAAGATTGATTTAATGATACTGGAACTAGAAGAACATCTGAAAAATTGACAGTCATACCAGATCTCTTCAAAAGTTCTTAGGAAACATACTTCATCATTCAGTATCAATTCCACAAGTATAGCTCATATTCAAGGATACCCATCTACTAGAATGGCTAGCCAATCTCTATTGCAGACGCTTGCTCAGATACATTTGTGTTAATGCAACACCCACAGAGCTCACCCGTGGTTTATACTGCAACTATGCTGAGCAGACCTTAGTTACAGTTTCTGGGAAAGAGTGTGTTATTTAACGTGATCAACAATTTGAACAAGGCCAGCACACTCAAGCCCTTAGCCACAATGACTTGTGTTTCGTCTACCCAATTTTACTCACAAGGTTGCATCAAGGCTTGTATGTTTTTCAGGTACTTTCAAAAGAACGGATTTTAATTGCCAACGAAGATTGTATAGCTGGCCACTCATATTCGAGAATACCTGTCTACTATGGCGGCTAGCCAATCCCTATTGCAGACGCTTCCTCAGGTGCATTCATGTTTATTCAACACCTACAGAGCCCACCTGTGGTTTATACTGCAACTATGCTGAGCAGACCTTAGTTACAGTTTCTGGGAAAGAGCGTGGGGTGAAATGATTAAAAAAAAAATTTCAAATTTTTGTGTCTGAATTCTTGTTTCTTAATCTTGAAATTCCCAGTTCATGCCACTTTGAAGATGTCGCAAGTAAGTGTGGGAGTGTGAGGTGGGAGGGAGAGCAGAGAGAGGGGTATGAGAGAGAGAGCAGTGAGTGTGAGATGGAAGAGAGAGTGAGCAGAGATTGTGTGGCAAGGCAAAGAGTGGGGGTAGGGGAGAGTGCAGACAGCATATGTGAGAGAGAGAGAGTAGAGAATGGGGTGAGAGAGAGAGAGAGAAAATGGGAGAACAGTGAGTGTGAGATGGGAGAGAGAGTGAGCAGAGATTATGCAGAAAGGCAAAGAGTGGGTGTATGTAAGAGTGAAAGAGAATAAAGAGTGGGGGTGGGATAGAAACCTGGGAGAGAGAGCAGAGAGTGGGGGTAGGAGAGATGGCCAAGGAGGGACCTCAGGAGTGCAAAGAAAGAGAGATTTTGGAGGAGTGTGGGGAAGGAGAGGCCTGGGAGAAGGAGAGGGAATATTTTTACCAAGACTCACATTTGTGTAATACTGCTTTAGAGAAATTAACTATAAAAAAGATTTGAAATAAATTCATAATAAAATTATCCAGGATTTAACTATAAATGGATAAATATTGCTGAGAGCAATAGAAAAATAGGAAACTGTGGAGGACCACAATCGCATACATTCTGAAGGCACAGAAATAATTTTGAGTGCATAAATTGTATAGAGTGAATCATATCTGGATGAGAATAAATCCTTTGAAATTAGTCTAAAATATTTGATGGATTTAAGTTAATTTTTAATCATATCATACTGGGGAAAAGATTTTCTGACCTAACTTTTAATGCTAATTATCCAAAAGAGCAACAAATAAGCTTACTGACATTGTATTCCTCCACCCTAACATTTTTGAAGAATTCCTTCCCTAAATTTCTTCAAAGAAATGGTTTCCAAGAATTAAACATATAACATCCCTTAGTCTGGGATGACTTTTCCCAAATGATTTCTTGAAATGTGGTTAAACCTTTCACAGAAAGAAGGGTCAGTTTTATTCCATTTCAGTTGATAGTTGAAAAATTTCCTGGTTATTTGGTATTGTCCAAAAATTCATATGACAGCTCAATTCTAAAATGAAATAAACAAATTGCAAGTCCAAACTTGTAGAGCAAGGGGCAGAAAGAAATGACAAAATCACAAATTGTTGGTCCAATGTTAAAAATCCCAATACACATAAACGGTCAGAAATCCAACTTACAAGCTGACGGATGTAGGTAGAAAAATAAAGTACCCCCAATTTGTGAAGACCAACCACTTTTGTTGACAGAATTTTTTTGTCAGGTGATTTGTGAGGTTTGATTTGGGCCTTGTTAAGATTAACCCACTATAGGGAATGTATGAATGAATAAATGAAACACGAACAATCATGTCTGGAGTATAACAATAATGATTTATATAAACATTAATAAGTGTTTTTGTATTATACAAAAACAGTAGATGGCAGAAGGTTGGTATTTCGGTAAAATTAAATAAAATGTTTGTTTGTTTTTTTTTTTTTTACATTTCAATAAATGCAAGAGTTTGTAAAAAATACTTAAGTGTTTTTGAGAGATGCTAGTTTCATTTGGTAATATATCCTGTGAATAAGAAAAAAGGAGGTTGAATGTATGAAGAGAAGTAAAAGGGGTGAAAATAATGAGAGAGAGGTGTGAGGTAGTGGTTGTTAAAGCCAAGATGCTTTTGATGTATCTGTTCATAGTCATAAGTGTTCGCCTTTCTGTGTCTTCTCTGTGTCTCTCCTGTTAGAATCTTTGAAAGAGGCTCCGATTAAGTTGTTGATTATTTCAGGTGCGCTTATTTCTCAACATATATTTATTTAGGATTGTATTTAATCAACTTCAACTGGAAGTTATGTGTGGAGCCTATTGCGCAAAACCCTAAATATGTGATTATGTTTTAAGCTATGAAAGAAGTAACTTCCTGTTTCTACTCTTAGTGTGACTACAATGTCTCGTAGCATCTTGGATTACTACTAGTTGGTACAAACCATAAAACGCTGATGGCATATTTTGCTAAATACTTATTAATAGGTTTTCAAATGGAAGTCTTTAAATACATTTTACTAATTATTATAATAATATGTAGTAATTCTGAAGGGGATCAGTTTATTACTTAATAACAATAAAAACCAACCCCCACTTTATGCCCAGGTGAATCTTATAAGTTGAGACATGTTGTCATAATGACACATTTTATTATGTGCTTCCAATTATCAGTGTTTTCACATGTTAGTCTTTAAATATGTTTTTATTAATTGTTACTGTTGTAATCTACACTTTTTATCTTGATTTTTTTTATTATCTATTTTAATTTTAAATATCTTTGAGCAATCCACCATACTGTCATAAACAAAGACACTAACATCAAACATCACCAGTGTAAGCAAGTTAAGCCTCAAAAAATAAAAGACATAAAAAAAATCATTAAAAATATACTTGATATACATTTACATGTAAAAGAAAAACAAATCTTTTTTGCTTTTTAGTTTTTTGGGGTTAATTACTTATTTAGGTCTTATTTTTAAATTTATTTACCTTGGTATTATTAATTAAATTAATTAAACAAGTTTAAAAATGGACCAAGTTTTATGCAGTACATTTATAAAAAAAAACAAACAAAAAAACAAAAAACTTTATATCAGTTTAACAAGGGAATAAAAAGGAAAAAATCAATGAAAAAACCCATCAAAGTTGATTTTCGTTCGACAGTTAAAAAAATAGGTATTTGTTCAAGACTTATCAAAATTTAAATAAATCTATACATTAAACAAAATGTAAAGGGGAAGTAACTTTTATATACAAGAAACAGAATTATTTCCCTTAGATACTTTTTTCGTTGAACCTAAATATATTTGGTGTTATTGTTGAATTTTTATTTTCTTATTTATTTATATATATTTATTTTTTTAATATAATTATTATTTATTACCTTATTTTAATTTGACACATTATGTATTATGTATTTATTTATTTATTCATTTTAAAACCTTCTACTTGAAATAAACAAACATAAATAATTTAGCAAAATTAAGATAATTAAATAGACAATAATTGCATTAAAAAATAAATATAAATAAATAAAAATTCAACACCAACATCATTTACTTTTGTTTATTGGGCTTTAATTACATCACTTAGCGTCCTCCATAGTTTACCTTGACTTACAGAGTTAGCTTTAAGAATATTTTATAAAATGTTCTTAAATTTAAAATTTTGAAAACTTAATATTTTTACTTCCTTTTTATAAATGTATGTTGCAAAATAAAATCTGTACATTTATCTTGATAAACTCCCTCAGGGGACAAAATGTGCTGGTAAAGAAAAGTTTTCCTTTTGTCTTTTATATATATACACACACACACACACACAGACAGACAGAGACCTGGTCTAACAGCAAAATTGTTCAATTAAGCTTTGAACCTGTTGTTCCTAGAAATGATTAAAGCCATCTTACTGGAATTCTCCAAGGTTTTTATCACACTACTGAGCAATAAGAATGTATAATTATTCTCCAAACTTAACAAAAGAATCATGATGAAATTGATCATAAACGAAAATGACATGTTCATTATTAATTAATCATAGTGAAAGATCAGAAGCTCATGAAGGACTGAAATAAAAGTCAAATATATATATATATATATATATATATATATATATATATATATATATATATATATATATATATATTATTCATGGATCATTTTCTAACTTATTCAAGGTGATCTTCACTCTCTCAAAATTTCTAACTTTCTGTCCTGGTATAACAAAGTGCTTCACAGGTTTCATGTACAATTTCATTTTCAAGTCTTTTTTCACTGCTCTTTGGACTGTCATAGGTGAAATTCCTCTCTCACGTGCCAAACGTCTTATAGACTGAGTTGGATCTTTTCTAATTGATCTCTAAGTTGAAATGGTGATATCTCTTGCTGTTGCGACCTCCTGATCCAGTTTACCTCTCTACTGTGTCCATTTTTTAAACTTATTCACCATTCTCTTGAATGGACTTTGAAGATAGAAGCCAGAGTATGAATGTTGGTACCATTACTGAAGGACTGAATAATTGTTTCCTCTTACTATTGCTCAGTTGGGAAGATATAATGGGGCTGACAAAAATGATTTTAACCGATTGTCTTTTTAGCTGAATAACTCATAGGGTTTTTCAGCGATTCTTACGACAAATGGTATCAAGATGGCTAAACATGTTAACTGAAAACATGGAAAAAAGAAACTCAATTAGGTTAGTGTTTTTTTTTTTTTTTTAAAGATATTAAACATTTTGTGGGATGGACAATTTGTTGCATAGGCCCCTGGTGAGGGTGGTCTCATTTTATCTTCTCTTGGCCAGCAATCGCTAGTTGATTTAATTAGCAATGAAAGACATCAAACTTGGAGAATTTTAACTATTATGTTAATGTTGACATGTACTAACTATCCAGTAGGGGTTGTTCCGCCTAACTGGGGAGCAGTTTCAGACATGAAAGAGAACACGTTTACATTGCTTGACAGTTAAGAAACACATCTCTGAAAAACCTTTCTTTATCATTCCCATGCTAGCTCAGCCAATCAAAATCGACTTCTTCACTATCTGCCACCTTGCCCAGACCACGTTCTGTCATCCACTTGCTTAAGCCTACTAGGTATGTTATGCGCTGCTTTCCCTTGACCCTCTTTCCCTTTATTTAACCTGTGAATAACAGATTCTTCAAGCCCTCCTTTCCTTTTATGTGCCCCAGAAATTTCAGCTACCTCTTCCTGATATTAAGTATAAACCTCTTCCTTGTTTGCATCCTCTCCAAAACCTCATCATTCTCACATGATCAGTCTGTGACTGTTCTGGTTCCACAAGGATACATGGCACAGTGGATAAAGGCGTTGGTTAGATCCAGTGACAGGACCCAAAGAGTGTGTGTTCAATACCCAGGTAAGGCAGTGGAGAACTTGGAGAAGGGAATTAACAGGAGATAACTGATAACTGACATCCATTAAACATGGCACTTATTTTCAAGTGTAGACACAAGAACAAATTTAAAATTCCCTAAAAACATTGATTTTGGAGAATATACACTTGCAGTGTTGATTCTGTTTTATATGGGTACTAACATATATGCGTATTCACATTTTTACATATGGTTATTTGTGTGATTGTCTTGCTTACATGATTATAATTTTAATTTGTTAATTAATTTTATTTTATATTACTATTATTGATCGTATTATTTTTATTATTTTTATCTTAATTCAAAATTTTTAAAAAAATTTGTTCTTTATATTTATCTCTTGATTTTTAAAAAATTATTTTTTATATTATTTATTCTATTTACTTTATTTTATTGATGTTGGATATTATTATTTTATATTTTTTATTATTATGATTATTTTAATTTGAAATTGTGATGATTATTATAATGCGATATGAAATTTGCTGTCTAAAATGACATGACTATTAGACATATTACTGTAACTCTTAATTTTGATCAGCCCCGTCTTACCCACTATATTAACTTGTTCAGCTCTTTAAAGAAAAATTTGTTTCTAGGTAAACCTATTGGCTGATCAATTAATTCTTTTCTTTCTTTTCCTCTCTCTCTTCCCTCCTCTCTTGCTTTGTCTTTCTTCCACCAATTTTACAAAGTTTATTTCATTTCTAAAAAACCTTT